TACAAAATATATAAATTTATATTTAAAACATTTATTTATATATTTAAATATTATTTATTTATAAAAAAATCATAAATATGAAGTTGAAAATTTTGTATTTTAATTATTAAAAATGAAATTTTATTTAAAAATAATAGATTTATAATAAATTTTATAATATATTTTAAAAAAAAATTCTAAGTTTTATTGCATAATAATTGATTAAAAATTATGATTAAATTTGAATGAAAATTATTACTATTTAAGGGATAATATTAATCATAATTATTATCATTTAGAAGTTAAATTTTAGATCCAATTCTAATAATCAGTAAATATGTTTTTTATAACCAATTTAAAAACTTACTCAAATCCTATAACAAATTTTCTATCTTATTTCTGTTTACGTTTTTGAATGTGACTTTTCTTTTATTAGGTTAAAACTAATATATCGCATATCTAAATTTTAAGCATTTTATAAGAAAATTATCAATTTTCAAATATCTTAGACTCAAAATTTTTCTTATCAAAAACTATAACTTTTATTCTCTATTATTTATACTATCATTATTACAGATTATTTTTTTTTAGGATTTTGAAGTTTAATGACCATTGATGCATTCTTAACATTTTCAGTAGCTGTTTTAAGAAAATAATTTGAAATGGACTTCCTCTGCGTACCCATCAAAAAATGTCACGTCGGCCCGCATTAAGACTTTTGCAGGCCCATATGCATGATCATGCATGTTACCGATCCTTAATGTCGGCCATTTCGTGACATTTTTTGATGGGTAGGTTGATGTCATGTGATCATGAATTTTCGATTGGTTTAAAACAACGTGATTTAAATTCATATCCCTGTTTGGCGTTTTTTTTTTGAACTCTATTATTAACCCCAAAACATAACAGATTTATAAAACCATCAGACTATTTTGATGATATAACTGTTGAAGAATGGTCATACCTTAATTTTTTAGAAACATTTAAACCCGTCATTATGTCTAAATTGGATGTCCCAAAACAAGAAGATAAAGGTACATGAAGAAAGAGATTTATAACACGTTTAGATAAGATTGCGGAAGATGACGCGTATAATGAACAACAAAGAAAGTTTGCGATTTGCTTGAAAGAAAAGGTACTTCAGCAATAATTTCTTCTTTAAAACAGTCAAGACAGTTCTACACAGCCAAAGGATGGTTTCGTTCCCTCCGTGTAGTTACTGTCGGTGTCATTACTAGCCAAGGATGGTTTCGTTCCCTCGTATGATACCCGATTGTTTCTGAATTTTGAATCATTAGTTTTGGATGATTTAAGAGTTCTGCATAGGTTAAATTATTAGTTTAATCTCATCACATTTTTAGAACCCTTCGTCTGCAGATACTTTCTGGAACCATATTGAAAAAGAGAAAGAAGATTTACGCGTAAAACGAGAGATAGTGAATAAGACTGTATGTATTATCCCTGCATATAATTTGTTACATGCCCTAATACCTTCAAATTGTCAACTCTAGAATTCAGTACGCAACAATACAGAAATAGACGCCCTAGATCTATTAGATACTGCGCGTACAGAAAAAACGAAAGAAATTTTAAGCTCATTGAAGCGGAAACAGTGAGGTAAGAATGCATAGTACAAACATTTATTTACATCCAGTCCATTGAGCTCATTGTTTCTTTATATTAGTTTCTCCAGTGATTATACTGAAGAAGGATATGAGGAGGATGAGAACTACAGTGATGACATAGGGGAAGATGATGAAAATCGAATGACCCAAGAAAAAAAGGAACGATTTAGAAAAATTTTCCAGGGAATACCTACGGAGGCGAAACTTGTCTTAAATTCAAAAACTATTGTTGAGGATGTCTTATTTGAATATGCAAAAGATCTGGATTTTGAGAGGTTAATTCATTTAATCCGAATTTTTTAGTATTTTCTACTTTAACATATTGAATAAATTATAGCCATGCACACTCCTTCATCATATGATAAAATAAAAGCATTATTCAGTAAAGAAGACTGGAAGGAACTCACGAAGAAGCCTTCACTGCCATCCGTTGATTATGAAATTGGAAAAGAATTGGCTAAGTACATGAAGGAAGATCTTGCTGAACTTCGCCAAGAAGTGATGTGCAATTTCCTGAAAGATAAAGAATTTTATGATCCAAAGGAGCATTATTTAAAAGAATGGATCCAAGTTACATTGAGACATCTGTGCAACCTTTATGAAAATCCATCTGCTCCTTTGTGCCGGGAACAGTACGAGGACTGATTTACAGTCAACCTGTTTGGAAATTGCTTTGATTTCTTGATGAGACACCCAAGAGTGTCTACGGATATCAAAAGGACAGATGCACCATCAATTGCCTCAGCAAATAGGAAAAATCGAGCTAGAAAACCAAAACAAAGAAATTTGACTGGCAGAAAGATTGATGGAATTATTCATCATCCAACTTATAATATAGAATTGGGTGCACTTGAAGCAGCAAGATCCTTCGTAAATGATGGAGATAAAAAACTTCTTATTGAGTCTTTTAAAATGCCGAAGACTTTGAAAGATATTTTGGTTGATATGATAAGATCAAAACGATGCAATGATGAGGAAGTGAATAAGCTGGTGGCCATTGGTATCCTGCATTTTCGCTATAATATTCGGTTTGTAAGGTTATGGTTGGCTGGAGCGTCTATATGTAATTTTTCGAAAGATGATATTCATTCTATCTCCGATCACTTTTCTAAAACAAGCCATTAAGTTCCTAAAAGCAATTATGCGAAGTCAGGTAACTTCTTTTTATAAATACACTTATTAGATTTTTTTGACTTTTAAAATTCACAAATGACTTTTTCAGATTATAATTGAAAACAATTTAAAGGCACTTGGATTCATCGAACAGAAGACCCCAAAGGATGATTTTAAGGAGGAGGATCTTATTTCAGAAATCTTAGGCAATGGCCAGGACCTTTCGCGACCAAAAACTCCTGAAAACACAAATTCTATTGTAGATTGCTTTGAAACACCACATAAAAAGAAAAATAAACCAAATAAAAAAACACCGAGGAAAATGACAAATAAAATTAGAAGAGCCAAATAAATGTTTATAACATATATAATAAATGGATGTTTTTGCTCACATTGGGCTTATCTCTTTTTAGCAATGTGTATGCAATGAACATTGTATGCATTGTATGCATTGAAATAACTAGCGAGTTAGTTCTTTTTTCCCAGTATCTACCACATATTTAATGCATATCAGAAGTGCAATGAGTTATACAAACGTAATTTGTCATACAGAGAATGATGATCATAATGAGTAGATTATTTTTTTATAATTTTTTTAATAAAAAAAGCATAAATAATTGATTTGAAGATTTTTAATATGTTTTTTTTTTTGATATGGTATATTTTTTTTATAATTAAATTAAAGATTATGATAAGCAAATTATGATTTTAGTTAAATAATCTATCTAATAAAAAGATCTTGATATTTAAAAAGGTATCAGTTAGATAATGTAATGCTTTATCATTTTTATTTAAAAAATAAGCATTTTATGATTGAAAATTATAAGGATTTAATCGTGAAATATTATGTAATCTTTGATATTCTAGGATCATATCCTGATCTGTCATGAATGCTGACCTATTAAGATGAGAAATCTCAACATTATCCCAGGTAGAACATCTGCTAAGGGCAATATAGGCTTGACCTACAAAGAAGATATTTTGATCTAAAGCAAGAGAAACATTTGGTAAAGTTAAGCCTTGTGTTTTGTAAACAGTCAGAGCAAAGCAGTTCTGTAGTGGATATTGAATTCTGTGACAATTATTTTCAAATAGTTGAAAGTGATGTGTTTGTTTGTAAATGGTTGTATCTATTATCGAACCTCTTACAGAAAATGCGACTTGAATAGAATGATCAATAAAGTTTAAATCCATAATAATTCCAACTGTTCCATTACAAATTCCTTGCTCAAATAAAGAGTTATTAAGACACATGACACAAGCACCTGGTTGTAATCTTACAGAAGAAGGTAGATTTGTTTTACTTTTAAAAGAATCCTACAATGTGAAATTTACTGAATCTACAGCTTGTAATATAAAGAATTTTCCTTCAGGAACAGGTAATATATTACAAATCATTCGATTAATTTACTGAGCATTTTCTCTAAAGCCAACAATATTAGTAGTATTGGGAAGTGTATTGATTGCTGAATATAATAAAAATTCAGAATGTTTTTGATTGAGCATTTGTCATGTTCAGCAGATATATTACTCATCTGAATTAGAGCTCCGAACAGGTTGGGTTGGATCGGGTAATTGACTTAACCTGACCTGATAAGGTCAGGTCAGGTCAGACATAAAATTGACCTGAATTAAATATAAATTTGATCTGATCTGACCTGACCAAACCTGTCTAAAAAAGGAAACTAAACAATTATTAATTTGTTTAAAAAAATATAAAAAAATATTGATACATTTTTACATTTGATTATTTTTCAAAAAAAAAAATACTAATATAATTA